ATAGATGTTTGATAGGAAAGAAGGAGGAGAGATAAGGACGATAGATGTTTGATAGGAAAGAAGGAGGAGAGATAAGGACGATAGATGTTTGATAGGAAAGAAGGAGGAGAGATAAGGACGATAGATGTTTGATAGGAAAGAAGGAGGAGAGATAAGGACGATAGATGTTTGGTAGGAAAGAAGGAGCAAACTATCCCAGAGCACCCGCCAACCACCCACTGAACGGAACATGTCTGATCATTTCACGCTGTGAGGGGAACAAACTGTGAGTGAAAAAATCTTTGGTTTTCAGCACGAAAGAAAAGTGCAGGTAGACAGGAAGGGTCAACTACGTGAGTGGTCAGTCCTTACCGGCTTTGTTGTAGGAGTCTAGGACGGACACCTGATTGGTGCAGAACACAGCCGCGTCAAAGTCACACTCCTGGAGGAGGGGGGGGGGGAAACAAGATTGGAGAAAGATTAGAGCAATCTGGCTAGGCTGACAAAAAATTCTTTTTCTCAAAACTGCTGTGAAGAAAAAAAAAGGCGTTTTGCCAACTTCCGACAGACCTGTCAGTACCAGGTGATTCCCACTGCCAAACACATTTACCAGATGACCCACTCTTCTAACGGTTTACCTGTAAACAGGACAATATCTCTAACAGTTTACCTGTAAACAGGACAATATCTCTACCAATTTACCTGTAAACATGACAATTTCTCTAACAATTTACCTGTAAATATGACGATATCTCTAACAGTTTACCTGTAAACAGGACAATATCTCTAACAATTTACCAGTAAACAGGACAATATCTCTAACAATTTACCAGTAAACAGGACAATATCTCTAACAGTTTACCTGTAAACAGGACAATATCTCTAACAGTTTACCTGTAAACAGGACAATATCTCTAACAGTTTACCTGTAAACACGACAATATCTCTAACAGTTTACCAGTAAACAGGACAATATCTCTAACAGTTTACCTGTAAACAGGACAATATCTCTAACAGTTTACCTGTAAACAGGACAATATCTCTAACAGTTTACCTGTAAACAGGACAATATCTCTAACAGTTTACCTGTAAACAGGACAATTTTTCTAACACGTTACCTGTAAATACAACAATATCTCCAACAGATAACAAATTACCTGTAAATATGACAATATTTTTAACAGTCTAACAATTTACTTGTAAACATGACAACATCTCTAACAGATTACCTGTAAACAGGACAACAGAGCCTCCGCGTCCCGGTCTCCGGTGATGTTGAAGATGAGAATCCGAGCCACTCTCCCTCTATAGCAAAACAAAACATTCACAATGTACTTAGTTTAGTAGTTTAGTTTTAGTAAGAGTTTTACGGCACTTGCAACACAATACGGTCATATAAGAGCTGAAGATTAGAGGTGTTACAAGAGAGTAACAAACACAAAAAAGGAGGAGAGATCAGGGTGATAGATAGATGTTTGATAGAAAGAAGGAGGAGAGATCAGGGTGATAGATAGATGTTTGATAGGAAAGAAGGAGGAGAGATCAGGGTGATAGATGTTTGATAGAAAGAAGGAGGAGAGATCAGGGTGATAGATGTTTGATAGGAAAGAAGGAGGAGAGATCAGGACGATAGATGTTTGATAGGAAAGAAGGAGGAGAGATCAGGGTGATAGATGTTTGATAGGAAAGAAGGAGGAGAGATCAGGACGATAGATGTTTGATAGGAAAGAAGGAGGGGAGATCAGGACGATTGATGTTTGATAGGAAAGAAGGAGGAGAGATCAGGGTGATAGATGTTGGATAGAAAGAAGGAGGAGAGATAAGGACGATAGATGTTGGATAGAAAGAAGGAGGAGAGATAAGGACGATAGATGTTTGATAGGAAAGAAGGAGGAGAGATAAGGACGATAGATGTTTGATAGGAAAGAAGGAGGAGAGATAAGGACGATAGATGTTTGATAGAAAGAAGGAGGAGAGATAAGGACGATAGATGTTTGATAGAAAGAAGGAGGAGAGATAAGGACGATAGATGTTTGATAGGAAAGAAGGAGGAGAGATAAGGACGATAGATGTTTGATAGGAAAGAAGGAGGAGAGATAAGGACGATAGATGTTTGATAGAAAGAAGGAGGAGAGATAAGGACGATAGATGTTTGATAGAAAGAAGGAGGAGAGATAAGGACGATAGATGTTTGATAGAAAGAAGGAGGAGAGATAAGGACGATAGATGTTTGATAGGAAAGAAGGAGGAGAGATAAGGACGATAGATGTTTGATAGGAAAGAAGGAGGAGAGATAAGGACGATAGATGTTTGATAGGAAAGAAGGAGGAGAGATCAGGACGATAGATGTTTGATAGGAAAGAAGGAGGAGAGATCAGGACGATAGATGTTTGATAGGAAAGAAGGAGGAGAGATAAGGACGATAGATGTTTGATAGGAAAGAAGGAGGAGAGATAAGGACGATAGATGTTTGATAGGAAAGAAGGAGGAGAGATAAGGACGATAGATGTTTGATAGGAAAGAAGGAGGAGAGATAAGGACGATAGATGTTTGATA